AGCAGTGCATGGCCACACCGTCAGGACACAGAGGAGCTGGACCTCAGACCCAGGACAGATCAACTCTAGAGCCAATTCTCTCTTCTCTTTCCTCTACAAATATGAGGAGACCTGCTCCCATTACACCAGGAAGTGGGAAACATTGCCTTAGAGGTCACATAGCCTGGAATTTCCGCATCAGGCATTTGTGCACTCAAGAGCCCAATAGGAACCCATTTTACTTTAGTCCCCCAGTCCATGGGGAAATAGGTGTAAGTCAGAGGGGTGAGCCCTGGGAGGGGAGGGCATCTCAGAACACCAGGTTCAAGAAAAGATTTTGGAGGAAAAGAGTGAAGAGGTTCATTTATTTAGCCAGTAGGCTCTATTGAGCACCTACTATATGCCAGGCACTGTCCTGGGCATTTAATTTTGGATTATCTACAGCTAGGCAACAAACTACTCTAAAAAATAGTGGTTTAGCCCTGGCCGGTTTGGCTCAGCGGTTAGAGCGTCGGCCTGCGGTCCTGAGAGACCCGGGTTCGGTTCCCACTAAGGGCGCGTACCTTGGTTGCAGTTTGTCCCCGGCCCTGGTCGATTGTGCGGGTGGCAGCCACTCGATGTGTTCCTTTCACATTGATGTTTCTCTCTCTCTCTCTCTGTTCCTCTCTCTACCTCCCACTCTACCTGAACAAAAAATGGAAAAATGTCCTCGGGTGAGGGAAAAAAAAAATAGTGGTTTAAAATGAACAATAAACACTTGAACATCTCTTATGATTTTATAAGTTGACTGGACAGTTTTTCTACTGATCTTGCAGGGGGTGTCTTACGCTGCTACAGTCAAACGACAGCTGGGACTGCCATCATCTGGGAGCTTGACTGAGCTGGCTGAGACAAGATGGCAGATTCTCATGTCTGGCACCTGGGCAAAAACCCTGGAAGGCTGGGCTCAGCTGGGACTCTAGGATTGCTGGAATCCCTCTTTCCATGTACTTTCCAAGTACCTCCCTCTTCATGTGACCTTTCCATGTGGATTTCTCTGGCAGGGTTTCCAGACTTCTTACATAATAGCTCAGGACTCCCAAAAGTGCAAAAGTGGAGCCCCTGAGCCTTATTAAATCTTAGGCCTGCACTGGCAGCTACAAAGGCTTGTCCAGGTACAAGGGAAAGGGTCATCATTTCCATTTCTTTATAGAAAATAGGTAAACAAATTTGAGCCATGTTTAAAACCAGCACAGTCTATCCTCTGGATATAAATTATTTACATTTCTCTCACATGCAAAATACACTCCCTCCCTCTCAATGATCCCCAAAAATCTCATCAGGTTTAAGACAGAGGTCTAGGATCCCATCATCTAAACTATCCAGGTATGAAGAAGATTCCTCAGATTCAATTCCTCAAGTAGTGAGCTCCTTGAGTACTATTTCTCCTTATCTAAAAGCTTGTAAACTAAAGAAAAAAGTTATCTGCTCCACACACACCCAACATATAATGATGGGACAGGCATAGAATAATCATGATAAACACTCCCATTCAAAAGTAGGGGAGAAGGCACATAGCAGTCACTGGTCCATAGCAATTTTGAAATTTAGACAGGTACATAATGCCAGTTTCTCAATTAGGGTTTAGTTCTACTGCCTGGGAATATTTGTTTCCCAATAGCTTTTAGTCCTCTGGGCTCTTGGTTCCACTTCTGAATCACACTTTCTTTACTATAAAAAATGACTGGTGTTTGCAACTAAGTAGTTTTCTCAGTTTGCTTCCTTCCAACATCCAAAAAACTTGGGGACATTTTTTTTCATTTTGTTCTATTCTGTCCCTTTTGGTCCAAGCTGATGGTGCTTCTGACAATATAGTTCTATTTAAAACATTGTGGGTTCCCTATGGGTTCTGTTGAGCTTCACTTTGTCAAAAGCTTCAACACACGTTTCATCAAAGTCAGCCATTCTCTACTTTGAGCTTTTTATGGAGTTGTTGCAGGAAAATCCCTTAAAATTCTTAGAAGCCCTATTGTTTAATAAAGAGAATCTGTGAAGCAGGCTCTTGATGTATTCAGAGGGCCTTTTTCTACCTGAAAGATTTTATGAAGCATTAGATCTTTCTGAGGTTTTAACAGAGGTTCTTATTTTCCCAGTCTGGATTTCATTGTTGTCCTGAAGCGCTTTCAGCCTTTGGATTTTTTTTTTTTTTTTTTTTCCCATTTGGTAAGGCTGAGAATGAAAAACAAGATTTACTTTCAAACCCAGCAAATTTCTGTTTTTTTAATATTTTCTATAAATTTGGCTTGAAAATTCCTTTTCAACTCATCTTATTCTATCTTTATCATATGCAGCTAAAATAATTCATTTGGCACTTTCAACATTCTGCTTAAAAATCTCCTCAGCCTGTCCAGCCCATGTGGCTCCCTGGATTGACTATTGTCCCATGGACCGAGAGGTCTGGGTTCAATTCCCGGTCAGGGCACATGCCCAGGTTGCAGGCTCAATCCCCAGCAGGAGGCATGCAGGAGGCAGCCAATAGATGTTTCTTTCTCACATCAATGTTTTTCTCTCTCTCCTTTCCTCTCTCTCTAAAAAAAATCAATTAAGAAATATTTTAAGCCCTGGCCGGTTTGGCTCAGCAGTTGGAGCGTCAGCCTGCGGTACAGAGAGACCTGGGTTCGGTTCCCGCTAAGGGCACGTACCTCGGTTGCAGTTTGTCCCCAGCCCTGGTTGGTCGTGCGGGTGGCGGCCACTCGATGTGTCCCTTCACATCAATGTTTCTCTCTCTCTCTTCCTCTCTCTCCCTCCTGCTCTATCTGAAAAAAAAAAAAAAAAAGGAAAAATGTCCTCGGATGAGGATAAAAAAAAAAGTATATATATATATTTTAAAAATCTCCTCAGCCCAAACCACTAGGTCATTCGATATATTTCTATTGTCCACATTACTGCAAGTGACAATGCTGCTATATTTTCCTCCACTGCATAATATGGGTCCCCTTTCCTACTGCTTCCAAGATAATTTTCCTCACTTTCCTTAAAAACCTCATCAGCAGCCTCCTTGAGGCCCATCAGGCGTCTACTAACAATATTATCAAAACCCTTACAGTATCTGCCCAACTCTCAGTCCTAAGCCCCAGATTTAGGTTTTGTTATTGCAGCTTCACCTTCTAGGTAACAAAAAGTCAGTATGAGCGATCTATTGAATTATAAGAAACCATCTTAAAATAAAGGTCTTAGAACAATAACAATGATGTATTTTGCTCACAAATTTGGGAGTTTTTGACAGACTCACTTGGGATTTGTCTCATGAGTTTTCAGTCAGTTGGTGGGCTGGAGCTAGGGTCGGCTCAAATGCTGCTTTGTTCGCCTGCCTGGGGCCTAGGCTAGGAAGACTCAAACAATTCAAGCTGGATGGCTAGGGCTCCGCAGGCATCTCTCGCTGAATGTGGCCTCTCTACAAGGCAGGCTCAGGGTGGCTGAACCTCTTTCATGGTGGCTGAAGGCTCCCAGAATGAGTGTCCCACAGGGAACCACCAGAAGCTGCCCGGTCTTTCCTAACCCAGCCTGGGAAATTGAACAATGCCACTTCTGCTGCATTCTATGTGTCTAGGCACCCAAATCCCACCCAAGTTAAAGGGGCAGGGGCACTCTTAATGAGAAGAGAGTGGAGGATTGTATACATGTTTTAAAACCACTACAAGAGGTTAAGTAACATGCTCAAGACCATGCAGGTGGAAAGTGACACACCTAAAGTTTGAACCCAGACATTCTGATTCCAGACTCACATCCTTAACTGTGTCTACGCTGCCTCCTGCATTTGTAGACACGGAGGTAGATGGTGTGCGATGCAGAAGCGGGTGGATCCTCTTTCTTGGGAAAGCTCCTGACTTGCTTTCCTATACTCAGCTATCTCTCAAAAAGGGAGTGGGACTCATTAGCTGCAGGGGACTGCCCGAATGTCAAATGAATTAATGAATCAGAGCGGGAGCAGCCTCCTCTGAAGGCCTTTTCTCCTCCCTGAGGTCACTGTCTTCCCTGTGGCCATCAGTGCCTTGGTGTGGCTTCCATGTCACCCTCACCACAACCTGAGACACGCTCCTGTCACGGTTTCTCACCTTCTCACTAGGTATGTTCACATGGGGGAAGGAGGAGTGTCCTTGACATTTCAAGAATGCCTGCCACACCCAGCTGGCATGGCTCAGTGGCTGAGCATTGATCCGTGCACCAAGAGGTCACCAGTTCGATTCCTGGTCAGGGCACATGCCCAGGCTGTGGGCCCGATCCCCAGTGGGGGGCATGCAGGAGGCAGCCAAAGTTCTCTCTCATCGATGTTTCTATCTCTCTCTCCCTCTCCATTCCTTTCTCTCTCTAAAATGAATAAAGAAAAAACACATTTTTTTTTTTTTTTAAGAATGTCTGCCAGACTGGTGGAAAGCTTCATCCAAAGCCTGCAGATTATTCACCAGAAAAAAATGAGGCTTCTGTTGACTTTACAGGGCCATGGAGTTTTCTTAAATTTCCTTCAACAGATTTAGACACACAATGATTTAAAATTACATCTTTGTCAAAAGCACTGAAGTCCTAACTAGGACTTGCAAGATAGACTACCATTTCCAGTAAGCTTCGTCTGAAATAATGCTTTATATTCTGAGTGGCACCTTGATGCAGAGGACAGATCAGCCAGGAAACAAGCGGTGGGCGGGCAGGGCTGCGGGGAATGGTTACATAGTCTGTGCCCTGCACAAAGGGGGCTGGCCAAGGACATGAGTGGCGTGCGGCCTGAAACCAAGCCCCACGTGCCACTGGTCAAACCCTTCACCTGGTGAGGGGCTGTGTCTTCCTGGAGGGAAGAACAGGATTTTTTACATTTGTCTGCCCAGAAGAGCACCTTTTTCTAACTCAATAGCAATACCACATGTACTAGCAGCCCCACTAGGGGAAAGCTGAGATAAAATATTATATTCACCTACTCCATGGGACAAGTAACTGAAATCAACCCTGGCGAATAATAATAATACATTTATTTAAATTTCGAGAATGGGTTGAACAACTGAGCACCAGGAAAGGCCAGAGCCAGGGCAGTCCCAAGGACCTCGGCATCTGGAGTCAATGACCCCCCTCCCCAGAACACTTCCATTGAAGCAGCCCCATCCCAAAGCTCCAATCTCTGCCTTGCGGTTCAAAATTCCAGGCTCTTGAGAGAAAACATCTGATTGGTCCGGCTCGGTTCAGCTATTCCCTCCATACTCATCAGCTATGGTGGGAGGGGGAGAAGGGGAGAGAAGAGTCATTTCGTACAGAAGATACAGCATAGATCCAACTGCTGAGGCCCTCATCATGAGTATCATGGGTATTTCAGAATCCAGACCCTAACTGTGAGCTGTGCAGCCCTCCAAGAGTTGCCTACAGAAGTTCCATACAGTTATCGAGGATTTGTCCTCCCCAGGAAGGCCAATGTAATCAATGACCTTCCCACAAAGTCCCGAGAGGCTACCTGATCCAGCCAGTCAGAAGATTCATTCCTGTCGCTGTTCATCCCTCTGGTTTCTCTCTGCACGCAGCAGCAGTGGTCTCTGTTCACCAAAGATCTGATTTATGGGCTCTCTACCACCAGCGGGAAGTCAATTCTTCATGTTTCCCTTACTGGGACTAGTGTCTCTGACAGCCTAGAGCAGCTACAGAGCTATTCACAGGCCAACCTATGATCAGAAATGAATTCTGGCAAAAGTCACAAAATTATTTTGCAGTGTCACGATTGGCAACCTTTTAAAATATTTAAAAAATGATAATACCTTTAAAAATCATCTAACAGAAACCCACGTAGCCAGCTCCCCAGATGCAACAAATGTGAACAATTTGCCATTTTGCTTCAGATTTCCTTATCTGTTCAGAAGACATAAAATAGTGCAGCTACAGCTAAGTCCCTGCCCTGTAGCCCTCCTCCCTCCTGCCCACAGACAGGAGTGCCATCCTAAAGTTGGTGGTATCATTGCCAAGAATGGTTTGGGTCTGACTTCTCTTTTTGTTTGGACCTCAGGTGCAGGATTCAGTCCAACATTCTCAGTGGGCCACACTCTCATCACTACTCATTCCACACACAGGCCCTGACTGTTTTATTTCCTTATTCCTTTGATCCTTGTTCACCGCCCAGCCCATCCCCCAGCCCCAAAGAAAGGCAACCACATCAATATGGTTGACATCACGTCTTTGTGTGTGTCCCTATAAAACATACATTGCCTTTCTGTGTAGATGTACTTTTAGTTTACGTAAATGATTTTGGACTGTAGATTGTATTGTTTCTTGCCTTCAGTCAGCATTGTTTTTAAGGTCCACACATAGTGTTGAGTGTGCATACAGTTGGTTGTACAACAAACTCATTTGACTTCTCCCATTCTTCTCCCATTCCCCCAGGGTGGTGGAGGAGGGAGGGGCAAACTGAAGAGATGGTTAGGAATAGGCTTGTCCTTTATTTATTTATTTATTTTTATCCTCACCTGAGGATATTTTTCCATTTTTTGTACAGATAGAATGGGAGGGAGAGAGAGGAAGGGAGAGAGAGTGAGAAACATCGACGTGAAGGGACACATCGAGTGGCTGCCACCCGCACGACCAACCAGGGCCGGGGACAAACTGCAACCGAAGTACGTGCCCTTAGCGGGAACCGAACCCGGGTCTCTCCGGACCGCAGGCCGACGCTCTAACCGCTGAGCCAAACTGGTCAGGGCTAGGCTTGTCCTTTAGACTCTATTCCAGGAAAGAAATGTGCCAAGGCCACTGCCCCTGACCATGCATGTGTACACACACACACACACACACACACACACACACACATACACCCCTTCAGCGGTGGCCCTGCAGGTGGAGGTGGGGGAAAGCAAGCTGGAGTTATATGAAGGAAGATCTGTCCTGGAGCTCTGGTACATTTAAATCCAAGTCCTTGCCTCCTCCAAGAAGCCTGGCCTGACCATCCCACGCCATGCAGGTCTCTTCCCTCTTCTGGTGACTGTGACGCTCATTTAATTATATACTAATCCATTCTAGTCTTTCTGTTCCTGTCTCCCTAATCAGACTGAAGTCCTCTTGAAAGAAAGGAAAATCTCTTGTCCTTTTTATCACTCTTGCTCAAGGCCTGGCCCAGAGGAAATGAGGGCAGGGATTAGAAAGTCGAATCGTGGTTTTGTTAAATTCAGGCTCTGCTCCCTCCGTTTTATGGACAGGCCATCTTTCAACAAACAGTTATGTAAAAGATTTTCAGAAATCCAGAGAGGACACACGCACTGTTCTCAGGGAGCCCTTTTATGGGGAATGAAAACATCCAAACATGAAGTTGTAGGACAATGTGGAAAATGCAAAGACTTGAGCACATACCTGTGATTCAGAGGAGGAAATTCCAGCTCATACAAAGGGAGGCTGGGGGGCTCCTCGAAGAGGTGATATCCAAGCTGAACCTGGGAACCCAGTCAGGACAGGTGTTCAGACAGGACAAGAGCTAAATTTAGAATTAGGAGTACATAAGAGGATTATGAAATAAGATTGAGCGAATGCAAGAACTATTAGTATTGTATGCATTTCAGTGATTACGGCTGCGTAAGGAATTACTGTAATATTGGCATCAAACAACTGTTTATTATGTTTGCAGATTCGTTGGGTTAGGAATCTGGACAGGGCACAGCAAGCCAGGCTTGTTTCTGCTCTGTGTTGTCTGGGCCCTCAACCCGAAGTATTGAAGGCTAAACTCTGGAACCCTCTGAAGGCTCATTCACTCACAGATTTGGTGGTTGGTGCTGGCTGTAGGCTGGGGGCCTCAGTTCCTCTCCACATGGGTCTTTCCATCGGTTGCCCCATAGAGGCTACTTTGGGTTTCTTCATAGCATGGCAGCTGGATGAGTACCCCCCCCAAAAAAGAGAGCCAGGTGGAAGCTGTATCTTAGCATCCAAAAACCATTAGCACCATGGTGTTGGTAGAGCAGGCATAGCCCCTGTCCAGCTTCAGTGAGAAGTAACATAGACCTCATGTCTCAGTGGCAGGAGTGTTGGTCACATTGCAGGAGGAGCATGTGTGATGGGATATGTATTTTGGTATGGCCATCTTTGGAGAATACAATCTTCATGGTATTCATTGATAGAGTGGAGGGACAATGATGGATAGACAGGCATATACTACTGTGGAGTCCAATATGCAAGGCAGAGGCAGCCAGATATGAGGCTTCAAGGAGAGGTCAGGACAGGTTCTGGAGGGTCTTAAAAACCACACTTAGGTGAATGCTTACGGGCAAAGGAGGACTTTGGAAGCCCCAGGACTCCTGCCCCCTCACTTTCAGCACCCAGTACCCTCTCTGCGCTTGATAAGAAAATGTCTAAGGTCCTCTATGGGTGGCTAAAGCAAAGGGACTTTCAGGGTTGGTCTGTACCCTCAGAATAAGAGTCACCATCCCCCTTCCCTTGTCCCTATGTGCATGTGTATCCACATCTATCTGGCAAAACCTAATTTCTCGACTCCAGAGAGACACAAATGCTGCTTGGGTGGCTGGCAAGGACTCTTTAGAAGTATCCTTCCAGATTCATTCTGAGTGGTTCTGGGCAAAGCAAATCCCACACTTTCCCACACTTTACACACACAGACACACACACACACACACACACACACTCAGAGGCCTACATAGTGTGGGCTAAAGGGGCAGCATCATATCAAGGGGAGAGCACTTTTTGGTAGTCAGGAGTCCTGTGTTCTCATCCTCTCTGCCCAACCAGCTGTGAGCCTCAGGGAGGGCCTTTGCCCTGCTGAACCTTGCAGACAAATGCAAGAATTGCACTGGCAGGAGTTTTCTCCAAGTATAGTCATTGGAGCTCTGCACTTAGTCACCTGGCCTAAAAACCACAGTAAGCTACTACCTCATACCCATTAGAATGGCTAAAATGAAAAAGATGACAATACCAAGTACTGACAAGCATATAAAGCAACTGGAACTCTCATACTTTGCTGGTGGAGATGCAAAATTGGATACTCACTTTAGAAAACACTTGGCTCTAAACATTTAGAAAGCATTTGCCACTAAAGCTAAACACCTTCTCTATGACCCAGCAATCCCATTCCTAGATATTTCCCCAAAGAGATAAAAACATATGTCCACAAAAAATGACTTGTACAACATTATTATAGCAGCCAAAAATTAGAAATAGTCCAGGTGTCCATCAATAGGTGAACCGATAAACCATTTAATAAAAAGAAAAAAAAAAAAAAAACTGCCCATACCTGCAACATGGGTGGATCTCAAACACTATGCTGAATGAGGGAAGTCAGAAAGAAAAGGACATATACTGTATAACTCCACTTTTCGTGAAGAGATAGATGATGCTAGAAATCGGGGCGGGGGGGGGGGTGGGGTGCATGGGACTGTCTGGAGCGATAGAATTGTTCTGTAGGTAACACAGATGTATACATTTGTCAAATGCATAGAACTGTATGAATAAGATCAGTTCATTTCACTGTTATACTTTAATCATTTTTTAATCATCTGGACTGCCTGTTAAAATGAAGCTTCCGGGACACCCCAGACCGGCTGAGGAACAGGCTCCCGCTTTGGTGAGAGCGTGGATTCGGGACCCAGGTCCCCAGGGGCTACACCACACACTCCTCTCCCCCCGTAGCCCCACCACACATCATCCCACCAGGCACTGGGCGCCTCCCGCTCTCCCGAGCCCCCCGCCCTCTGCCCAGTCGCCCCTGGTAACCAAGAAAGGGCTTGAAACCCCTCCAAGTGCGGCCGCCTAGGGAGGGGCATCCGCAGTGTCAGCGAGACAAGGGCCAATACAAAATGCGGGGTAATTGGCGGCTTTCTCATTCGGGCCCTTTGTGCGGCGGCGCGGAGCCTGCGCCGGGCTCCCCAGCCCCGGCCTTTCAGCCGCCCGCCGCCCTCCCCGCGCTCCGCAGCGCATAATTAATCGGGCTTCTCAGGGTCGCGGACAAAGGCGCCCATTCACCCGCCGCTCCTCCCCCCGGGGATATTGTTATTCCTGAAAACTGCGGCCAGCTGGGCCGCAGAGCAACGTCAGCTCTGTGGGAGAATGAGCGCCGAGGAGAGAGGGGCTCTGTCCCCGCGCCCAGCGCGCGGGATTAGAGCGGCCGGGCCGGGTGGGCAGGGGGCCGGGGCCTTTCTGAAGGCTGCCCGGCTCCTCTGAAAGCCTCGTGATTTCCATGGGGCCCTGGAGAAGAGCGCCATGCAAATGGTAATGGGGGGCATTGAGGCTGGTTCTTAGGGAAGGAGAAGGGGGTGCATTCAGTCTGGCCTAACCGTGGCACTGCTCCCGGGTGGGAGGCGCCCGTGAATGGCGGGGCGGGGAGCAGGGAAGGCCAGGGTGTCCCCACCTGTACCAGGCCCTCCCCGACACCAGGAAAAATGTGTCAAGGAATAAAGGCCTGAATCTGGGTCCGTGGCGCCTGTAGCGAAGTCGGGCTGGGGGCGTGAAGACCCCATAGCAACCTGGCTTCTGCTCCAAGGACCGCCTGGGGAGCTTGCTCGGAATAATATCTATACAGGCCTGGGCTTCACCACCAGAGAATCCAGCTCCCCAAGTCTGGGCCATGGCCAGGGCATCTATTCCATGGGCTCTCCAAGCACCTCTGAAGCCCACCCATGTTGGATTACCCCGCAGCACTGCCTGGGGAGATGGCTCAGGCGCTCTGCTTCCCGGTTCACAGAGGAGGAAACGGCCCGAGGAGGTAAACCCAAGGTGGCAGAACAGACGCTGGGTGTGCTGGTTGTGCCAGGGCAGGGCAGAAGGGACCGGCTGCTGGAAAGGGAGGTTTCACCTCCTTCCCAGAACATCACTTGACTGCTCGGGCCTGCTCTGAACTCTTCCCTCCCTGGCCTGTCCTTGCCGAAGATTGATCTGCCCTAGTTAAATGCCTCCAGCATGTTCTGTCTCGTGGGTTCACTGGGGTTCTACCCGCTCCATCAGAGGGCAGGCCCAGCGGTCACATTGGTGTGTGTCTGGGCTAGTGTTGGTAGAGCTCCAACATCTCATGACTCCGGGGTCCTGTCCTCCAGGCTTTGTTTCCCTTCAAGTCCAGTGTCCTCCCCAGGCCCAGCAGAGGGCTTGGTCCCAGGTCAGCAGTACAGGGCTTCACCTTTGGCAGTGAACCCAAGGACACAGGCACCCGTTCATTCCTCCTCCCAAAGCTGGGAGCAGTCATGAACAGCCAGCATAGATTTCCAAAACCTCAGCGTCCTGAACACCTCCCAGAACAAGCAGGGGCCTTTCCAAAACCCTGCCCATCCCAGCCCATCTCGCGGAGACATTCTGTCCCTCGGCTATACCCTGGAAAATGTTCCCTCAGCCGAAGACTGCCAGTCCTGAGCAGGACCACAGGCCCCGGAGCCAGACGGTGCCATAGAGCCTCGCTCCTCTGCAGGTCAGAGAAAGGAAGCCTCCTGTATTTTCAGAGAAGCCCAGGCTGACCTCCAAGGCCCAGAGAGGTCCAACCAAGCTCGCTGCTTCCACCAGGCCATGCTGGACACTGGAAAGCCAGCGTCATGCGACATTCATATCTGTGGGTTGGAGAATGTGCAGAAAACTCAAGAACGGAGTGAAGGGAAAGAGCAGAGAGCTCAGCCAGGCCTGGCCAGGCCTCTAAGGAGGCGGTCAACTGTCCAGCTCAAGCCGACTCAAACATGGCCTCTGTAGCCAGCAGCTCCCCGCGGGACCCTGTGACCTGAACAGCCCCCAACAGCCAGGCCACCAGCATGGTATCAAGCAGAAGGAAAAAAAAAAAGCCAGCTCTCTCCCAGTAAATAAACCTAAGTGATCCTATACCGTCTAGAAAGAAGTCTCAGCTATAAGGAAACGAGATGATGTAGAACAATGTCCTTGAAATAAACACTGGGGTATTTAGGAGTAAAGAAGCAAACTGTCTCTAACGTGTTCGCAAATGATTCCATAAAATGTAAATTATTGCTGAATCTTAGATAAGGCCTTACAGAAACTATGTGTAATATTCTTATACTTTTTCTGAAATGTGAGATTTAAAAAAAAGAAGAAGAAAAGCAGAAGGAAACACACGCACACACAACACAGCAGCAATATCCCAAATCCTACGCCCAAGGGTGGGACTCGGTGCTCCTGCCGTTACCACCTTCACACGTGCACCCTCCCTGCAGCTTTCACCGTCCGGTGACGGCCGCTTCGGAACCCAAGTTGGTTGGAAGGTCCTTAGGGTAAGGTCTGTGTTGTTTATCTCTATAATCTTATCAAAGCTAGGGCTGTGCTTTGTAAACAGCAAGCATTCGACCAGATCCGGCGTCCAGTCCTTTGCCATGGAAGGTTTCCAGCTCTGAGTGAGACGGAAGGAGGAAGAGGAGGGGACTGGCCAGTGGGAAGAGGAACCAAGAAAGATGGTAGAGTCTGTCTATATTGTCCAGTCCAGTACGCTCACGTCAGAACTGATCATAGCCGGGCCCTTCTGTTAATCAGATCCTTCCATTCTTCCACAAAGCTTGGAAAGCAACTCAGCCCCATTGGGGCTGCCCAGTAGGATCCACCCACAGCACTGACAGATACACAGCCTGAACCTGACCACATTCACTTCAACATGTGGTTGCCAGAGTCAGCCTTCTGCTTATTTAAACATCGGCTGGTTCTCTGAGTGTTTCATGTATGTGAATCTTGTCTCTCCAAAGAGATCGCAGGGTTGAGGGCCTTACCTTCTCCCACTCGGCCATCTTCAAGGGATTGATAGAGACACAGACCCATGAGGAGCTATCAAATGCCCGCACGAGGGACTGTGTCTGGTTCGCTCTCTTCTACATCTCCAGCACTTAGCGCCATAGTTGGCACGTATCTGGTGCTCAGTAGACTCACTGAATAACAGAGTGGGCGGGAATCCTGAGTTGAGTTGAGTTGCCGTCTTTGCCAGGGCACACTGAGCAGGCTCTTTGAGGCCGCAGACGCTCAGCCATGGGGACAGAACCAGAGCAGCCCCCCACCCGCCCCTCCTCAGAGCGCGTCCCTCCGGCTGCCAATTCTACCCTGTACCTGAGAAAGGCAGCCTCTGAGTTCTCTTCTCATGTAGCAAAAAGCTCAGTGAATGTCCGGTGGGGGTAGGACCTTCTGTAAGAGAGCTCTGGGTCAAAGTTATGGTCTCCCCGACCCCCTCTCTCCGTCAGCACATACACTGATAAGGACAAGGCTCAGCATGGGGGCCAATAGAGTGTAGTGCCTGCAGATGCCAGAGACCAAGGGAGAGCAGTGGGCTTGATGGGGGCAGGAAGAGGGTGACCAGAATGGTCATCAGGAGCTCCAGTTTCCTCCCTGGTGCTTGGGGCGGGGGCACTTACAGAGCAATCGGACTGCTTCTCCCACTTGCTAGCAGGAAGGGGAAACTGAGGCGTGGAGCTCTTCAGCGAGGCCCTGGGAACCCGTCCAGGCCTCCAGTACCCCAGACGAGGAGCCTTGTGTAGTGTTCTTCCTGCTGCTGCCGTAGGCCTGAGCCCAGGCCAGTCCAGGAGCGGCTGGGTGCTTTCGTGGCCTCAGCAAAGGGACATTTTAAGCTGCGCAGAGAAATCTATCCCACCTTGAAGGAGGGGAAAGTTCCTCCACGGGGCCATCTTGACAGAGCTGCTCCTTCCCTCCCAGCACGGCTCACCATCTCCCTGTGTCCCTGTAGGGGACACTTGCTGGGCCTGTGGCGCAGAACTGGGCATGCTCAGCACACATCGTGTTCACTTCCAATTTAAGAAAAAGCCAGGCTCCCTGGCTGGGAATTCATTCTTCCTCCCCCTCCTCCCTTTCTTTTCTTTTTCCCTCCCCTTCACTTTTTCCCAACCCCCCAACCCCAACCCCAAGGGCTTCCAAAGTGACAACATGTGGGCCCAAATCAAACCCTTGTCCTCAGGCTCCTGCTGGCCTCTCTCCCAGATCACCCACCTTCCCCCTTCAGCTCCACAACCCGGCCACCCTCCTCACCCCCACCCCCGCCATTCCTCTTTGTGGACAACTTTCTAAATGCAGCCAAACTTCCCCTTTTGGCCCACAGGCCCCATAAAACAGCTGCAAAGAGTCAGCAGCTCTGCAGAGGTCCTTTGGCCCTAGCCATTGCTTCCCCATCCCAGGTTCTAGAGGCCAGTCTCCTGCAGTAAACAGTGGGGAGACCCCCAGAGACACCATCTCCCCAACAATCTAATCTAGAGAGGATCCAAGAGCGTAGTCAGTGGGAGGACACATCCAAAGACTGGCCTGGTTTCCTGGTCCTGCTGACCCCTGTGCCACCCTGGGCAAACCACTTATTCCCTCCGGACATAGCCCTCTCCTTTGTAGAACAAGGAGCTAGAGTGGCTGATTTTCCTGGTCCCTTCCAAGTCTAAAATTCCATAAATGTGTGACTTTTCCTTAGAGTGCTTCTGCCCAGCGCCTGCCTAGGACAGACTTTCCCAGGGACACATGGCCAGCTAACAGTTGTTTAGACTCAAATCCAGTCTCCTAACCTGTACTCCACGTTCTCTCCGTGACGCTCGGCCCTCAGTAAGATAGTGGCTCTACTCCTGATTCCTGATCAGAATCACCTGGGGGGTTTTACAACATATCAGTCCCCAGCCGAGCCCCAGACCAACAAAACCAGAAGCTCAGGGTGAGGCCTGGTCATCAGTCTCTGGAAAGTTCCCCGGGCGATGCTGACCAAGCAGTCTGGGTTTAGGAGGCTCTGACTAACGGAGAGGAGCCTGCCTGCTCCCTGGCAGGCCCGAGCCTCCCCACGCACCTCCAAGGCAGATGGCCCAGGACCTGGAAGCCACCCTCGCAAGAGACAGGAGGCTGCGGGGTGTCCCCGGCCCGCTGAGGGCTTTGTGTGGATTGAGAAAAGGAAAACAGAGAAGGGAAACTGAAGCTGGGTGAATGCAGTGAAGGAGAAAAAGACAAGAGAAAAGGGAAGGACTTTGAGGTCAGAGAGTCATGTGAATGGCATTTAGGGAACAAAGCCCCTTCCACTGTGTCCCCAGCTCCCAGTTCATCAATCATGCTGGGTCCTGGTAAATCGCACTCTTCCACCCAAGGCGCAGAGTGTTGCTGCCCGTAGAGGCCCAGGACAGAAGGTTCACATCCAGACATTGGCCACTTCTGAGTCTATGAGCCCTATACCTCCCGTCCTTGGGCAGAGCTAGCAAAGAGCCCTCACTGCACAACACGCCTAGATCCCCCACCTCCTCCGCTCCAGAGCCAGGGTCTCCTGTCGGATATGCACAAGGCCCACCCTTGGCAAATCAAAAGAAGATGGTAATCCCAATAGAAAACTGAACGAAGGATATGAGCAAGTGATAACAGAGCTGCAAGAACACACACCAAGCAAATGCCCAGTTAACGTGTGAGAGAGGTTGGTATCGGGGAGGGAGAGACAAGTGAAGAATAGGACAAAGGGATGGCGGTCACCAACCTGGGGGCAATTGTGCCTCCCAACCATCAGGGGACATTTGGCCATGTCTGGAGCCATTTCTGGTTGGGGAAGGGAGGGGGTGCTGCTGACATTTAATAAGCAGAAGCCAGAAATGCTGCAAAACATCCTATAATGCCTGGGACAGGCCCCCACAGCAAAGAAGTATCTGGCCCAAAATGTCAATAGTGCTGCCTGAGAAACCTTGGACCAGATAGTGGGCAAACAGATCGATGAAAGGACCTTGCTAGGACAAGGATGACAATGTGCCATGAGTCACTGAGGCATGGGATTCATGACAATGAATAAAATGGTGATGAAAGTGGTTCCCAAGTGTTTGGCACACAGTAGGGTGTTCAGTTAATGTTCACTGCTCTACTGTTACTCTTTCCTTGAGGGGTCTGAACCCCTCGGCCCATCTCTGCTCCAGCAGCAAAGCTGGGGGCCTCAGGCCAGAGAGACTCCATGTCACCCAGAGGTGGGTGAGTGGAGTGGGCAGCCCAGCTCTAGCCTGTGCCCAGGCGGCGGGATGCTCAGATGCTCGGCCATGGAGCGGTGGCTGGAGAAGGGCAGAGAAGGGGGGGAAAGATGGGTGGGGAGCAAAGAGGAAGAGAAAGAAGACGCTGCAAGTTTCGATGTTTCACAACATTACAGAAATACCCAGAAAGCCATGGGGGTGGCGGCGCACAAGGAGAAGTTCGTGTTGGGCAATGGCTGCAGTTCTCTTCTCGAAGGCATGGAAAATCCTCTCTTCACAGCCTCTGGCTCAATGAATCCAGACCCTTCAGCGCCTCTGCAGTGGCCTGGTGAGGGACACGCCCCACAGCCTCGCCGCCTTCCGCCGTCTGCTCCCCTTCGAGTCCTCCTCACCCTTCTCCCACTCACCCTGGCCAAGAGGTCCTCTAGGGGTCTTCAAGCTGAGCCCCAGATCTGGCTCTGAGTTCCCCAGCAGCCCAAGCCAAATGAGAATTGGTGTCAGATTCATGGGTCACATTGCTCCTAGTCAGAAGCCCGCCGGTTTCTCTGAGTTTTGCCAAGAACTGGAGCATCACATCCAGGTGATCCAGGTGATGCTGTGTGACCTGGAGCAAGCCACCTCCCTCCGCTCTCTGGGCTCAGTGCCTGAGCTTGTCTGCCTTCCTGTGAAGGCAGTGGAAGGGAGGAATGTCACTGTAGCCCAGGGGTCAAGAGCCTGGGCTCTGGAGACAGAGGTCTCTGGCTCATCGGTCTTGTAAAACGCACTGGCTGAAGCAGCGAGCACGGACGACAGCGGGATCCCACGATCAGTGCAGTAGTGGGACTCCTCCGGCCATTTTCCACAAAGCCCATCATAGGGGGGGACATAATAAAGAGCTTGTGGCGGCTAAACGACACGGTCCAAGAACAACTCAGCTTCATGAGAGCCCGACTCAGTTCAGGGATAAGTCTCATCTGGAAGAATGGCTGGAATGCATGGCCTTTCAATAACCCCCATGAACTTTATTTCTCTCAACTGGGCTTTTGATAAAACTTGGGCAGCAGGAGGCAGTTGGAAGTTGTAACCGCTGACAAGGGTCTGGCAGGCAGCGCTCTGGTGCTGGGCGAGGGTGGGGCCGTGGGGCCTGGCACCTGCAGAGGCATCATTCATGGATTCAGCGATTCCCGGGCTCCCCCACAGGCCCAGAGCACGCAGGACTTTCTCCGCTTGCTCTGGCCAGAAGTGGAACTAGATAGAGAGGCTGTCGACATAGGAGCAGGGCTCGGGGCTGGTGGGGACCCTGGTCAGCACTAAGGGCCTTTGTTATTATTAAGGATAATAATAGCTTTCACTTACTGTGAATCTACACCACCTCTTCACGACCTCAGTGCATCCTCACAGCCAACATCTTAGGTAGATACATTTGACAGATGAATAAACTGAGGCCCAGAGGGCTGATGTAACCCAGTAAAAGCAGAAGTAACCATGCCTACTCAAATCTGTCTGATTCCAAAGTTCACACACTTGTAACCGCTACACCATGATAGCTAGCCACAAAGAATGGGAGATAAAATCTGTGGGAAAAGTGAAAAGGCAGTTAGTTTGCAGCATGAGAGCACAGGAAACACATGACTCTCAGAATGTGATCGGGACAGAGCCGGAAGCCTGCAGCAACGTTTAGAGTTTAAGACCATGGGGCTCCTCCGAGCCTTCTCAAGCACCCAGAGCCTGCTGGGTTGTAAACACGGTTGTACCCAAGTTTCTGTAAAAGCCGGGAGTGTTTCAGGAAGGGGCCCCCCTGCTTAAACAAAGGCTGCAGGCAGTGGATAAAGGACACCCCGTGACCAAGCTCAAGCTGCCCCTCAGGAGCTGCCGGGGTCCATCTGCATGTCAATGAACAAGCACCGTGGAGCTCCACACTCACTCTTGAGAGCCAGGCCGAGCTGGTGTGGGCCAGGGATCCCTGCTGGGCAGGGCCATCTGTGCCTCCTGTCACCTCCTGGGGAGCCAGTGGGTGGGCACCTCCAGGACAAAATAGAACCTGTGAAGTTGTCTTCCCAGCAGGTATCCCTGTGACTCCTTCTGTCACAGGACACCAGAGCCCCATCTCCTTTGACTGGATACACTGACCTTCTTCAGAAGTTCTCGTTAGGATGTGGACAGCAGTGTCTAGGTCACAGGGAAGCTTCCACATCCGTGAGCAATATGCTGACCAGCGGGGCCTCGGCTCAGCCCATGAAGTCTGATGAGTCAGGAGGACTGTGCTGTTCTCTCCACAGGCGGTGTGCCAGGCACTGGCAACGGGCCCACCCTGGGGCAGGTGCGAGGGTAAGGGGAGGAGTCGGGCCCAGTTCTTGCCCTCATGAGGTTTACAGTCTAGAAAAGGGCACAGAGGTAGAAACACCTCAGTGTGTCTTCATAAGTCCCTTCTAGAAAACAGAGAAAAGAAGGAAGTGTGGGGTAGAAAGATATACCTACAAAATAGATCCAGACTCTAACCACTAATCCCCACACCCGTTCATTGTTACCACCATCATCCCGGGCATAGATAGTGGCAATGGGGGGGGAGGGGGGAGGTGTCCTTGAACATAGCAGGCCTGCTCCTACCACAGGGCCTTTGTACTTGCTGTTCCCTTTGCCCTTCCACAAATATCTTCATGATTTGGCATCTTCATGTTTTTGTTCAACTGTCCGTTCTCAGTGAGGCTCTCTCTTCATTGAGGACACCCAATTAAAGTGCACAGCAGTGCCCCCTCTATGCCAGTCCACAAATGTTTTAGTAGATGCAATACTGGTGGTCTTTGCTCACTAACCCTCATAGCCCTCTCTCTTAAGGAATTCTGGCCAAGGATCCTTGGCCCTGGCCAGAGTCTACTTCCATGAAAGTACACCCAGAAGTGGTCCTCCCTGCCAACTGTCAGTGTACTGGGACCAAGCCTGGCTTCTTCAACTTGCTGACCCCCGGGCTGGTCATCTCTCATTCTGGAGAAATTCCAGCAGAGCCTGGGAAGCCTCCCCCCAACCCCCTTGACCAAGTTAAAGCTCTGACCTATTGAAGCAGGACTGGGTATTTGGTAATTTTCTCTCTTCCTGGCACCCATCTGGACTACATTTCCAGCCCCTTTGCCATCAAGGGTGGCCAATGGCCTGCAAGCAGAAGCAATGTGTCTCTATTCTGGGCTGAGGACATCAAGAAGCATGTATGCCTCGTCCACCTCTTTCCCGTCCTGCCATGACCTCATGGTCCCAGAGAAGGCAGAGCCACAAGATGGAAGAAGCCTGAGTTCCTCAATTTCCCATCCAAGGAAGGCTGCCTACCAATCAGAGCACCCATCTTAGACTTTAGGTGAGTAAAAAAAAAAAAAAAAAAAAGAACTTTGTGAACACCCTACATGTTAGAAGTTGGTTACTATATGAACTTGGTGTTTAACTTGCTGCCCCTCTAAGGACTTTGGGCCTGTCCTCACTTCAGTGCTCCTCCATCCCCACCCCAATTACATTTCCCACCTGAACTTTGACCCCTCTGCCCCACCCCATACCAGGCCTCCAGTGATGACTGAGCAGCTTGTGAATTAATCCTTTCTGCTCTTGGGTCTGTGAACTGATATTAAAGGCAAAGAGGAAAGTTTCTTCCCACTACCTCCCTATGAGCCTGGTTCCAACAGTGTGTGACTCCAAGCAAGACTCCAACCTTACAGAGACTCATCTTTCTCTTCCTTGAGAAGGGAACCATGGCATCTGCCCCTGCCACCTCCCAGAGGAAAAGACAAGAGGCCTTGACATGCAGGAACAGCTGCTCTGAGCTGGACTCTCCGTGAATAACAACTCACTTACAGCGCTTAGATTGGGCAACCGAGCATACCGAGGTTTAAAAGTACCTGCCAAGTTCAGTCAATTAGTAAGTAGCTGCCCCTCACCTCTGACTTATCCTCTCTACCTTCTTTCCTTCATCGAATGGCACCACCACCCACCCAGGTGCTCAGGTCACCCCTGAGTCATCCTTCATTCTCACCTTCCTTATACAGTTCAGCACCAAAGCCCAGCCATTTTACCTGGATAAACAGTTCTCCAATCTAGCCCTTCCCTCCATCTCTGGTGCCACCACCGTGGTTCGATCACCTGCATATCTCTCCTGAACTTCTGCAGGAGCCTCCACATTGGTCTTCACACAGCTCTTCCACATAGCAGCCAAGGGCATCTTCTGGAAACTCAAATCCGACCATTGCACTCCTAGGGTAAGACAGCTCAGTGGTTTCCCACTGCTCTTACAAAGCCTTGCCATGGTCTGCCCAGATTATGAGATCAACCTCTCCTTGAGCCCCATCCCCCTGTCCCTTCTCTCTCCATTTCAGTCAGGGCGGCGTTATTCCAGTCCCTTGAACACCCAGCACCTCCCTCCTTGGCGGAAGCATCCTTTGCACATGGTGTTCCTTCTGCATGGAACATCCTTCCTTTGCCTCTTCACTGGTTTACTCCTAATCGCGTCTCAGGTCTAAGACACTTCTTCAAGAACATTTCCCTGACCTCCTTGATTAGATGATATCCCCCATAGCACTCATCACTGTTATTATTGTAAGTCTAGTTGAGTAATTATTTGATGAAGGCACATCTCCTTTACATGGCGTGGAGCTCCATGAGGACAGGAACTGTGACCATTTTGCTCATCACTGAAATTTAGTGTCTGACACATAGTAAAACTTCAATACTGGCCGAATGATTAAATTAGCAAAAGCTGGAATTGAAACCCAAGCCTGTGAGACTCTTCACGTACCGATGGTTTGTTTTTTTAATCATCACCTGAAGACATGCTTAAAGAGAAGAAGGGAGAGAGAGAGAAAGAGAAATGTCGACGCGAGAAACATTGATCGGTTGCCTTCTGTACATGACCCAACTGGGGATCCAACCCACAATCTGGGCAGGTGCCCTGACCAGGAACTGAACTGGTGACCTCTTGGTGCATGGGACAACACTCCAACCAACTGAGCCACACCCGCCAGGCCACATACCATTTGTTGTGAGGAGTTATAGTGTCAGCTCAGGCTCCCATAACAAAATACCATACAATGGGTGGCTTAAACAACAGAAATGTATTTTCCTCATATTTCTTTCTGGAGGCTGGAAGTCCGAGATCAAGGTGCTGCTGACTTGGCTTCTGGTGAGATGTAGCTGCTCTGCTTGCAGATGCACTTCTTGGCCTCTTCTCCGTGCACACAAAGATGGAAGAAATCTGTGCGTGTCTTCTTCCTATACAGGCACAGTACTATCGGATTGATACCCCACTCTGAGACCTCGGTTAACCATAATTGCCTCCTTGAAGACCGTATCTCAAATACAGGGCATATGAATCTGGGGGGACACAGTTCAATACATAACATTCTGCCATCTAGCCCCCCAAATTCGCATTATTCTTCCATGCAAAATACATTCACCCCATTCCCAATGTCCCGAAAATCTTAAGTCATTCCAGCATCAATTCCAAATCCAAAGTTTCACTAACTGTCACCTAAATCAGATACGGATGAGACTCAAGGTATGTTCATCCTGGGGCAAAATTCCTCTCTAGCTGTGAACCTGTGAAACCAGCCACATTCTTTGCTTCACAATGGTGGGACAGGCATGGGATAGACATTCCCATCCCAAAGGGGAAAGTGGAAAGAAGAAAGGGGCCACCGTTTCCAAACAAGTCCAAACCTAGCAAGGCAAATTCCATTTGATCTTAAAGCACCAGGTTAATCTTCTGTAGCTCCATGCTCTGCCCACGGGGGCAGCATCAGCACCACAGTCCTCATCAGGGGCCCTGCCCTTTCACCTCTGCTGGGTGACCTTGCCCCTTAGGCACCTGGTAGTGGCCTCCTGGTAGAAACCACCTTGTCCCCGGGGGCTGTAGTGGGAATGGCACACATGTGGCTCAGGGTGATCTCTGAATCACCTTCAGAGTCATTTTTTTTGCAAGAATAACCATGTTTGAAGTGCTATTGTCCTGCACTGTAGATCCCAGAAACCCGACAGCCTTCCTTCACCCCATCTTCTCCATCCCCGTTAGTCCCAGAGGCAGTGCTTCTGCTGGTATAATCCCGCCTCTGTGCTTCAGCAGAGCTTGCTGGTTACAGCTGTGGGCAACCTCTCTATGAAACGATCATCCTGCCACACCTTTGCTGTGTTCTCCAGAACACGCTTTCCCATTTCTTTGCAATATGGATAGGCTGAGAATTTTCCACAGCTTCAAGTTCTGGCTCCATTTTTGCTTAATTCCTTCAATTGCTCTCTTACCTCTCGCATTTGACTAGAAGCAATAAGGAAGAGCCAGGCCTCACTTTCAACACTTTGCTTAGAAATCTCCTCTGCTAAATATCCAAGGTCACCACACACAAGTTCTGCCTTCCACAAACACTAGGAAGAACGGGGTCAAGTTCTGTGCTACTTTAAAACAAGGATTGCCTTTCCTCTAGCTTTCAGCAGCGGGTCCTTCACTTCTGCGTTCCCCCCACAAGCACCTCTATCATTCATGTTCTACCAACATTCTGTCGTGACAGCATGTGTGTTCTCCGCAGCTCTCTTCTCTTTCTTTCTAAGTTTTTACCAGAATCACCTTGAATGTTGATATTTCTACCAATAGTCCTTCCGAGGCAATCTTGGATTTTCCTACCACGCGCCTCAAAGCTCTTCGAACCCCTCCCCTGTTTCCCAGCTCCAACACTGTCTCCACAGTCTGGGATATTTGTTATAGCAGCTCCCCATTCTCGTGCCAGATCTGTATTATTCAGGGTTTTCCAAACAAACAGAACTGGTAGGACATATCTATCTACCTATATCTATAGGTAAAGAAATTTATCATAAGGAATGGGCTTATGCAATTATAGATGCTGGCAAGTCCAAAATTTACAAAGCCAATGTCCAGTTCAAGTCTGAAGGCTAGGAAGCTGCTGTTGAAATAAGAAAAGCTGAGGTCCCAGTTTCAAAATCATCAGGCAGAATTCTCTTTTACTCAGGGGAACATCAGTCTTGTTCAGTTCAGGCCTTCAATTGATTAGACGAGGCCTACCCACATTATGGAAGGCAATATATTTTATTCAGTGTACTAATTTAAATGTTAATCTCCTTTAAACATACCTTTTCAGCAGTGATTTTCAACTGGTGTACCACAAGAATTTTTAAAACATGCAATACCTGATTATTCTTTCTCCTGACTTTTTGGGGTCAAGAATTGGGACGGGGCTCAGCTGGATGGTTCTTCTGCTCCAGGTAGCATCAGCTCATGTGACTCATTCAGCGGGGCTAGGCTAGAATCCAAGAAGCCCTGTAAACTATCTGGTGTCTCAGCAATTCCACTTGGCCTCTCTCTCCAGGTGCTGTCTCCTC